TATGGCGAACTGTCATCTGAATTCTCTACATCAAGTGGTGTCCGTCAGGACTGTCCACTCTCTCCATTCTTGTTTAACTTTGTCGTAGACATCCTCTTAGAGTTAACATTAAGCTCGTCAGATTTTTCAGGGGTAGACCTTCTACCAGAAAAGTCGCTTACTGATCTAGAATATGCCGATGACATAGTTCTATTCGGTGAAGACGCTGACAAAATGCAGAGTCTTCTGACTACCATAAGCAACAATGCGAGCATGTTCGGGATGCGGTTCTCACCCTCGAAATGCAAAATGTTGCTTCAAGATTGGGTTTCATCGGCACCTGAACTAGTGATAGGGAGTGAAGTAGTCGAGCATGTTGATCGCTTCACTTATCTGGGGAGTCTCATCAGTGCTGACGGTCTGGTGACTGACGAAATCTCGGCACGGATACAGAAGGCTCGATTGGCTTTTGCCAACCTGCGTCACTTATGGCGTAGGCGAGATATCCGTTTGCTGACTAAAGGACGAGTGTACTGCGCAGTGGTTCGCTCCGTCTTACTTTATGGCTGTGAAACATGGCCGTTAAGAGTAGAAGATATTCGTAGGTTACTAGTATTCGATCATAGATGTTTAAGAAGCATTGCTCGTATATCGTGGGACAACCGAGTAAGCAATGCTGTCGTTAGGAAACGAGTACTAGGTAAGGATGGCAAATCAATAGATGAAGTAGTGAAACTTCATCAGTTGAGGTGGTTGGGACATGTGTTACGTATGCCTAACCACCGACTGCCTCGACGAGCTATGTTTTGTGGCGTAGGAGTAGGTTGGAAGAAAGTTAGGGGCGGCCAGACCAAAAAATGGCAGAAGTGCATGAAGTTACTGACTAGTGGACTGAATCTTGTTGATAGATATGGGCTACCTGGTTGGGGTCCGCGAAGACGATGGTTAGAGACCTTGAACGACATGGCTCAAAATCGTTTGCAATGGCGCAGGTGCATCCACTCTTTAAGCTCTCTCAAATCCTAATCTTCTGGATTAGCCAGCACCTCTACATTTGTCTTTCTAACCTTATCTCACTGAATTATTTTTTTTGAATAATATCTTCAAACCCTAGTCTTCTTCTTTACCATTAATACCTCTACTATCTTTATCACTATGGGATTTGATTTGACATTTGCGTTTCTGTGCTAATAATGTGGTATGGCAACATGAACTTATGTACATACGTACGAAGTTCTACGTTGCAACTGACTGACTGACTGATCTATCGTAATATGGTACTAAGTTATTAGATTGGGAATTTAATACTTAAAGTCATAGGTATTGAGTTGTAGTCTCAGTGTATTAATCTCAACGACATAAATCCACTGGTATATTCAGCAAATCAATAGGAAATAAGACATAACAGGTGTTATGAATTTCTTAACCAATCATTGTACAATAAATAACACACTGTTTCAATCAGTTGTACTTCGTGATGATGAGAAGTAAAATTTCGAAATATGACACCTTATTAAAGTTCGAAATGTCTTTTAAATTATAAGAGGTTTTCAAAAATTCATTGTTCAATAAGCAACAACATGGAACATTGAAGATTAAGGTGATGATTTGATATATTCATTTAAATGAGATTGAAAAACTAGACCTTTCTTTCTACACCTGTTTAATTGTTGTTCATTTTTCTCAGGTCTGTCTCCATTACTTGGCATTAATGTACTCTTTGGTCTTCTACTGTTTTTTCCTTCGGTCTTGAGGATTCAAAGTGAGGGCTTGTGTTGTGACACAGTTGAGAAATCTCCTCAAAGTGTGTTCTATCCATTTGTAGCTCTGCTTCCCGATTTATTCCTCCACTGGAATCTGGTCTATTCTCTGCCATAGTAGATGGTTGCTGATGATGTCTGGGTAACGGATCCTAAGTTCAGCATTATAGGTCGTCTGTATTGTAGGAAATTAACAGAGATACTGAGTTTGTACTGAATTCACACTACTCTACAACAAAGATTATCATGTGTTCACGAAAGAATGAAGTCAAAGGGGAAATTTTTGTAAATCTAGCGAATAGCCATGATGATCAGCGCCAAACAGGTGTTGAATGTGAAGAAGTTACCTGCTGGAAGACAATAGAAGAAGGTTGACTGATTGACAGTAGACTTGAATGCCATTAAATACCAAGTCATTAGTAGACTATAGGTTTGTTTTATATTGGGAAGAAATATCTATCAAGTTTTTTCAGATTTTCAATGATTTGCTAATTTAAAAAGGTTTGTAATCTTAATGAAAGTTCAACATTCTCAACAACTCCGTAAAAGGTAAATTCTGTCTTATTTTAGCAAAAATCAAGTAAAGAAATTGTATTCTACACACGCAGAGATGGCTAACGATGGAATCCAGAATGTTCGAACTAGGACTCATCAGCTACATTTCACAGTTAATGTTCACTGAAAGACTCCAATCCAGTAGATTACTCTTCAAACGCCACCAAGTTACCCCAATAGCTACTGGGTTAAAATAGTCACTAATGTGTCTAATGTGGTGGAGATTCTCATTGACGGACATCCTGAGTGAATTTTGTCAACATTGCCTTTTACACAACATGTATCATTAGCAGAGGTGTATAGTGTCTATCACTGTGATATGCTTGAAACTATTACGAGTTCACCTTACTCGGTAAACTACAGCGAAGATAAATGATGCAGTGACACGATAGGCTATTCTGATCCATTTGTCCCCGGCCCTGCTAACTAGATCAAGAAGTCTTGATAAGGCGTAGAAAGTTTATGCTACAAGCACCTAGAAAATATGAGGTTCACAAGCACACAAATCGAGTTTATTTATACATCCTTGGGAGAGCCACAAAAATAGCGTACTAAAATACTACATCAACCAATGACAGTCAAGGATTTCCCCGAGTAAGACATGTAATCTCAAGGTCAACTTAGTAACTTATGCGCGAAAACACAAAAAATCCAAAATTAGTACCTTTATCAAATGAGTTCTGGAGATCTAACCTCCCCCAACACATTAGACTCCTGAACTTACGTTTCTTCCTATTTAGGATGTACCTACATCTCACTCCTTGACTCAAAAAACCCAATACCTTACGTTACAGACACCCACTATATATCCACAAAGGCTTCACGCTAAACTTCATCAGAGCAAGGTGGCCCGCTATCTGGACTAAATAACGCCACCAATCCTAACTACCAATGTGGGGACATTTTCAAAATACTAACGAATACAATTAAGAAATTGAGGAATTGTTTTACTGCGCTGCGCTTCGTTTCTTTTTTTTCCTTTTAAACAAAAAATTAATTTTGCCGTTAATATATTCTCAGTCACGTTGATCAAAATAGAAAAAAAAAACAACAACAACAACAATACTACTACTAATAGGACTACACCTACTACTACTAATAATAATCATAAACATAAACATGTAACCAGCATATAAACTATAGGCTTTCGTGAACGCCCAATTGAACAGGGTTAAATGAAGTACAAAGCAAGTATACTCTATCATGTAATACACATTAGTGTATGTATATATGTATAGAGATAAATATATATAGATATGCAGATACATATCGATGCATAGAAATGCATAATTAACACTGTCTAGACTAATAAAGTCTAATGTTTACATACAGAATTAGTAGTAGTAGAAGTAGTAGTTAGTTGTGAATAATACACGGAAATTAAGGCGCGCGCGCGCGAGAGAGAGAGTGGTAGAGGGAGAGAAACGACTTTGAAAACGCGAAAACAAACAAACAATGCTGTTGTCTACACTTTCGACAACATTCGAATTTAGCAGTTTTTAGTTTTTATTCTTCTTGCTTATATTTGTCATAACTTTTTTGTTTTAAATGGAAACTGTACAAAAGCAAGAAACTAATAGAATAGACAATAGAATAGAATAGTTTTTCTAATTACAGTGTTATGGAGACCGTTGTTTGTTACGCATTGAAGTCATGAGTAATTTGTAAATTAGACTGTCCATTGGAAGCACTGAAAGACCGGCGTCAAGTCCTGGTATGGGACACGTCAGTAGTGCTTATTTAAGACTCTTGATACTCGTGCGATTCGTACTCGGCACTTCTAATCTCGTGCATGAACACTGAATCGCTGGACCACTGAGCCGGTTTAACTCTGATCAATTTAAGGATTTCGCGCAACCGTTAGGTGACGACTCAATGGTTCAGAGGTTAGGCGTTCGCACGCAAGACTGAAGGTCCGGGGTTCAAATCTTGCGAGGTGCAGGAGTCATGGACACGCACTGTTGATGAGTCCCATACCAGGATGAAACGGCCTTCCAGTGCTTTTAGGTTTGGTGGTCTAACAATGATTGATCAATAATTTCTGCCTGAAAATATCGTAAAATGTGCTCATTAGTGACTAGCTTCGTGAGGAAATTCTCGAAGTCCTACTGAGAAGAAGCGACCAGAGGAGTTCAACCCTGTCGGGTGTAGGCAGTAACTATGGAAGACAAATCCCTAGATCAATCAGAGTTAAACATTAACACCGTTGGATGCCGGCTCAGTGGTCTAGAGGTTAGGCTTTCGCACGCAAGACTGAAGGTCCTGTGTTCGATTCCCGCAAGTAGCAGAAGTCGTGGATGCGCACAGCCACCAATGAGTCCCCAATCCAGGAGAATGCGGCCTTCCAGTACGTCTAGGTTGCCAATGGTGGTCTTACACTGATTGATTCATGATTGATAAGAAACTACTCAACCATTCCCAAAGCTGGTTCGACCTATTATGCGACTCATCATCAGTGCACATCCACAACTCCCAAAACTCACAGTATTCGAACCCGGGACCTTCGTTTCTGCACACGAACACCTAACCTCTAGACCACTAAGCCAGAATCTAACGGTGTTAATCTGATAATTTCGCTCAACTTCACCCAATGCTTTCAATAGTTTGTAGTATATCATCACAAACTAATAGATAGATATGTAAATAGTCGACTGATGATTGTTGAAACAACAAGGCGAATAAATAGAATAAGATTTTCCACACGTTTCAATTAGTAGTAGTAGTAGTAGTAGTATTAGTAGTAGTGTTACTTTCAATTAAACAAACTTTGTCTGAATTTAAATCACAAATAAACAATTTTTCTAGACTGTCTGACTTCTAGTTTTTTTCTCTAAAAAAAAAATAAATATTTTCAATCATCACAGCCATGCAATAATAATATTTTTGAGTTCAGATTATTTTTTTAAAAAATAAACAACTTACTTTACATCAATTAATTAGAGGACAATTTTCTTGAAAGTCTAGTCGCATAAAAATCAATATTCCCGACTGACTAATCCTTCACATTTTGACCAGTAAGTATCTTGAAAAAAAAACGTGTAGAAAACTGCACACTAATCTAAATATTAGCTGACTCTTTCAACTTGACAGACTTCTTGTGTCTATACTTCTCAAATCATATCTTCCTTCCTTAATCTTCTCCATTACTGCTAAAATACTTCTATTATTGCTATCACTCTTTGTATTTGAACTGACAGTTGCGTCTCTGTGCTGATGTGGTATGGCAACCTGAACTGATGTACTTACGTACGAAGTTCTGCGTTGTATCTGTCTGTATGTGTATATGTCATTCTAGCTAAAACCCTTACAGGAAGTTCATTTGACTGTACATAACCTTGAATACAAAAATAATGAAACAGTTTGATATTTTTCAAAACTAAAGTCTTTCTTTTTTTGAATAATTCCGGTAGATACTTGCAAAATTTATGATTTACACAGATGTAAAAGTCGAATTTACACATTTTTGAAACCATGAACCGATCAATGTTAGACCACCATCAGAAACCTCGAAGATGCACTGTACGGCCGTTTCGTCATAGTATGGGACTCCTCAGCAGTTCGCACCCACGACGCCTGCATCCCGCAGGGTTCGAACCCAGGAGCTTCGGTATTGTGCGCGAACGCCCTAACCGTTAGACCACTGAGCCGGTTTCTAACGGTGTTAATGTCTAACTTGATCTAATTTGTTGATTTCTTTGCATAAAATCAGTTTCGTTTGTCTTTATCCATCCCTAACGCCTAGAATATCTACGATTATATTATCAGATTGAAAATTGAACCGATTGTATCACACAAAGCAACGTGTTCAAGTAAATTCCTTTGTGCCAGATAAACAAATAACTAGGCAATTTCGGTGCCTTAGCATCAGTAGTAAAAATAAAAATACTTTGGGTACATTTTCAAACACCAGTTTTCTTTTTTTCTTTTAACAAAACGATCATTCAAAGTTCAATTGTCTGATTTTATCTCAATTCGGGGCATTCATCTAATCGATATAATGATGATGATGATGATCATATCGAGTTCAACATGGCTTATTGTACATACTGACTGGACTACTACTACTAATTGAGAGCCATAGTTTTTTTCCTAAAAGTTTTAAAATTTTTTAATTGTTTTGTTTAAATGATGTGGATAACAAAATTAAAAAGAAAATCAACAAATACTTGCACGTTTCTATAAATTTTTTTAAAAATACAATAGTTTGTGATTGAAATTTCCATACTGATCTACACTATGCTTCTTAAACTGTAAATTCTCTTCAGGATTCTCATATTAGTCAACAGGAAGTGGTATTTAATAGAAAGCATGCTCCCAGGTGTCTAAGACCAACACTAGTCTATCTTCCTTTTCAGTTCCCTCAATAAACAACCTTCCACGGTGTGAGCAGCCGGGAAGTGACAACCGCCCTCATACCCGTACCAGCACACGAGACCAAATTGGTCAAAATCAAATCCTTCCTACACCCCCTATTTATTTCTCTTATCTCCACGACTAACTCTGACCGAAGCTGATACCTTGACGTGGTGATCGGACTTGCCTATCGTGATCACCCAACCGAGCTATATTGACTGGAACTCATGTTCCTGAAGGTTCTACCATGCCAGGCAGGTCGATTGGAGAACAGTGAAACTAAAAGCAGCTACCCAAGGTCTGAGGGCGAAATCGTACTGCTGACTGACTGCAGAGGGGTGTGACAGCAGTAAGGTGTTTCCCTCGGACAACCAGCATCTGCAGCGATGCTGCCTTCTCACGAAGAAGGAAGGGTTAGAAAAGGTCGGCCCTAAAAATGTCACACCTCACCCTACCTCACGGATTTCCGTCTCCTTGGGTAAGGGTGCCCACTAAGGGCCTTTAAGAACGGAGCTAATCCTCAAACAACGTCTCATAAAAAGGCCGTGCGTGACCGGCCTCAAGCAGTTGTCCCTTGGACTCTGCGGTCACGCTCCCAGGTCTCTGAGACCAACACTAATCTATCTTCCTATTCAGGTCCCTTAAGAAACAACCTTCCACGGTGTGAGCAGCCGGGAAGTGACAACCGCCCTCATACCTGTAACAGCACGAGAAACCGAATTGGTCAAAATCAAATCCTTCCTACACCCCCTATTTATCTCTCTTATCTCCACGACTAACTCTACTCACATTCCTTAATCTCCACGTTGCAACTGACTGACTGATGCATATGTGTGTGTTGTCAGTTATCGGTAAATCACGAAAACTCTGGCCGTATACAGATTTCAACAAAAGTGCTTTGTTTTGATAAACACTTTGAGTTCTGATGGATTGATGATTAGATTGCGTGTGAGTGAAATCTGGAGTCTGTTGGTTGTCATTGAGATAGTTTAGTCAAATACACCCATGAACATGATATTTTCTAGTTTTTGCAAGTGCATGATTATTTAACAAGTGAATTGAACATGAGAATAGTTGAGTTTGGCGCGAAATTTTTACTTTGATATGTCTAAATACTATTTTTGATAATATAACTGATAACAATGTGTGATGAAAGGCTTAACTCCAACTTTCACTCAAAATCCGAATTTCTCACATTACATTTTCCCCTTAGTTGAGTGTTTGAAGTCCCCTGAGGCTAAGTTAATATTGTTCAAACATCACCAAACTTCTTCTGTTATTCTTAATGAAAGAGCAGGTCAAGAGAAATGTCCTAGCAACCGTTATGATACTTTTGGAATTTTTCAATAATTAGACTTGAGATAAATCGTAAACAGTTTATAAAAGTATTTACAGCTAGACTCAAACTTATGCATTGTTTAGGCGTCGGTAATACACCAGTTCATGCCCAAAATCTAGGTGCCCAAACGTGTTATCCAACTTCTCATTCTTCCCTAGTCATCATCTCCTTCCAGATGATAATTTCTCATTTAGCTGACCTTTCAATTATTCTTAATTCCCTCGGGATTATTGCCTAACTTCTTTATCGAGTACACTGAATTTTTCACACTTAAAAATTCTGAACTGATATAAACTAGACTCTGGGAGTACTGAACAGTCGTTTCATCCTGGTATGGGACTCATCATTAATGTGCATCCACATTCCCCGCTAATCGCGGGATTTAAACTCAGGACTTTCAGTCTTGCACGCTAACACCTAACGTCTGTATCAATGGCCCAGCATCTGGACTAGGCTGCCATTAAAAATCTTGAAGCATTAGAAGGTCGTATTGCACTAGTATGAGACCACTCAGCAACACTCATCCACGACCTCCGCACATGGGAATCAAACCCAGGAACTTGTGTCTCGTGCAAGGTACTCTTCACCTCTAGACCGCTAAGTCGGTTTCCAATGATGTTTATGTCTAACTTCAACCAATCCACGAGATTTTGTGCAAATGTAATCTATTTTTCATCA